GATGACCAATTAAGGTCGAAACATGCAATGGCTAGTAGACATCGAACCCATAATCACACGCTGTTGTGTTGACGGGCCTTCCACCCAACCACCAACATGCAGAAGGTTGCCTCCCTTGAAACTCGAAGCAACTAATTGTCATAATTTTCTTTCGATGCTACGTAATTTTGACGACTAATTAAAGTTATCGAGTCAAAAAGAATGTGGTGATCGCAGCGTGCATCTCGCACGGGACAGACGAGAAATAAATTACATTTTTGAATGTAACTCAAAATGCAACACTTACTGAAGTATTTAACTTTCGGTTGAAACACATTTCAATATTTTCCTCTAAGATCGATTTAACTTTGATTTCGCTTCTCTCCACAACCTGCTCATTTGTTATGAGCGTCGTTACATAAACCAAAAAAGATATTTTCTGTATATATCATAGTCTATTACGGCGAGTTCCCAACCAAACTATGTGTGAATTTCTTGTGTCCTCTGCAATGGAACATGGCATCCCTTTGAAATGCCTTGCGATTTCAGTTGAGTATCCTACTGTGTATGTTGATCGTTGAATAATTCTTTTAAATGGGTTATTTGTAGGTATGGAGCGGAGCTAAATCCGGCTCAAGGAGAATTAGAGGTGTCTTTCCAACTTCCAAAAACACAAGTCCATTTGAGAAAGAATTTATTAAAAGATGTAGATGAAGTGCCTAGTAGCACTCTAAACAATGTACTGTATCCAGCGATTCAAAGTTATAAAAAGAGTCCTCCATTACTTCCATCATGAGTATTAATATTGCTCTTAGGCGTTGGTCAAAGGAGTGGGGCTATAACAGTCTGCACGTGGTGGTGAAACATTAGAGTTGAATAAAGTCATAGTGTTCCAGGCACGTGTGCATTTTTAAGTCAAGCAGCCTCTGCTCCTCATTAGTCATCGCCTAAGAATCGAGCCACCCAATGTTGTCATAATAATATTTACACTTTTAATTTTACTGCCTTGCGTCTCTTATTACACCTTACTAAATTTTCATAAGGTCCACATTGTTCAACAGGTTTCAAAAAACCGATACGTGACACAAAATCTGGAGTGCAGACCCGTGATCTCGGAGACGCTCACATACCTGGAGGGCGTGAAAAGGTTGACGAAGGAACACAAGGACTTCGTGACACCTTGGTTTGCCCGCCCGCGAAACATACAGGACATTCTTTTTGGTATTGGTGGTCTTCGCTACGGAAGTCCGACAGATTTGATCGAAGCGTACGACGCACGAGCAGACCGGTGGAGTGTGGTGAGTTGCATGCATTTCTACTCTTACCGTGCCTTGTTAAATGACTCCTCGGAGGAAAACTACTTTACCTCTTTTGTTGCTTATTTTCACTAAGTAATTGTTTATTTAAGCTTAATCACAAGGACCTCTTAGCCTCTTTATTTCGTGTTCGTTTATTTCCATTGCAGTCAACCCTTTTTTAAAAGAAGATCGAAAGACTGAATTAAAAATAAGAAGTACATAAAATACTCACATGCTGAGTCTCGTGTACAATATAAGTTCTAATACTAATCGACGAAGGATATGAAGTTTGCCTTAATTACCATTTACAATAAGCGTCCTACATCAACTGTCATGGCAACCTGTCTGCTGATTTTAGACATGAAACGAAGTCATCGTTAATCGTCAGTGGATTTCAACGTAATAAATGAAGTAGCGAATAATGTCGATGTTGGCTATCTGCGTGGTAACACCGCGTGAATTAGAAGGGGCACTGTTTGGGGTGCGGTGGGGGACGTGCTTCCTCCAGCTTTGCGTCGATAAAACACCAACATCTCTGTTTACCATCGTACGAAGCTGAAATGTCAGCTGTTGATCAGAAATTAATTCTACATTTGTCTGTCGTACTTAACGAGAGCACTGGTAATGTTTGAGCTTCTCTTCGGGTCTCCCTGTTTCATCCGCCTCTCATAATTCCACGATTGCTCCAAGTTAATTTCTCACGGTTTTTGTCGAGTGCCACCTACCACGGTGTAGCAATTTCGGTCCACTGTTGGGGGTTATAATCGTCCTTGGTTAGTTGTTTGCTCCAGCTAGCCAGGGACTCAGGGTCGTTCACGGGGATCGAGTGAATAACGAAGAGATAATAATTAACTGTTGATCTAATTATACTTTTATTATGTATTTTCTTCGTTACACAACTTTATAAAAATCTTAACCTCTACCGTCAAGAAACTTTCCACGACTGCCCACAATGCCCCTTTTGTGTTGAAAATGCCGTTTTAGGCTGGTCGTCTGGATTAAGAGGAATTTGATAATACCCCATTGCGCAGTCCAGCGTCGAGAAGAATTTTGCCTGTCCTAAAGAATCTAGCAAATCAGTTATCAATGGCAGTGGAAAACTATCCCCTATTGTGACCTCATTCAGATTTCGATAATCCACAACCATCCGCCATTTTTGTTTTACTGAAACATCTCGTCTCTAGAACTTTAACATCATGTCGCTGCTTCAACGCTTTTACGAAGACATGCCGCGAGGTGGAGCCTATGTATGTACGCAGGTAAGATTCAGCTTGATAACTAAGGAAATCCTTGGAACAGAGTCCATCTTCAAAAGCTGATAGTTGCTCTCTTATTCAAGATATAATTGTGGGCAGGGGCTGTAAAATTATACCACTCACATACAGGAGCATCATGCAAAGTGTGAATAGGTAGGAGGACTTTTGCGCCAATATTGGTTTTAAGAATACGATTTGCTTGTTAATTCATTTGAATTATGATTTAACAATGACGAGCGAACAATAGCGTTCTGCGAGAGGAAATGAATCTGAATCAGCAATAAATGAACATAGATGTACTTTTTTCGTTTCAGATGCTGGTTAATGGTGGCAGTTCTGCGAGGTGCAGTGTACGCCATGGGCGGTCGACATTATAGACTGGTTTACAGATCGGTTGAAAGATACGACTGCAAATCGAACCAGTGGTCTTTCATCAGTCCCATGAACACACAGCGAGCCAGTGCAGCAGCGGCTGTACTGAATGGTACGTAAATGCTGTGAAACAGAAATGTGTGAATTAGTGCCGAAAGCGAGGCGTCTGTCTGTCCGCGTGTAAAAACGCAAAAACGTTTGAAGGAATCTCAGGATTTGAGGTTCTCACGGCGGCGAGAACGAAGATAGCTGTCGTTTGGCTTCTGCCGACGTTTCAGACGAACTTTAT